GAGCAGCCGCCGAACAACGCCCACTGCGCCTCCCCCCCACACTCACACCACACACACACACACACATACACACACGCCCCCCCGCCCCTTCCCTCCACACACACACACACTCTGCCAACACGTGTACTTCCAGGCTCTTACAACTTACTCTCCCCGCTAGAGGCTCGGTGCACCCGGCTGCGACGATCGCCGCGAAGAACGCATTCTAACCAAGGACCCCCAAAAATAAATAAAATAAGACGCTTCAAACGCAAGGCAAAAGAAACACTTGCGAATACTAATAAGGGCGATAATAATAATCAACAATAATAATAATAATAATGAGCGGCGTGGCCAAACACCACACACCTCCCCCCGCCCCACAAACACACGCCCGGGAGTGCCGGAGATCGCCTCCTCCGGGCACCAAGTTCCCGACTCCTCGGCCCCCACCCTCCTGCTCGGAGACACCATCTCCCCGCCGAGGGAGGCTGGAGGCTTTCCCAGCCTTTTAATCCATAGCGAAAAAAACCCACCCCTCGGCGCAGTTTGGCGGGGGGGGGCACTGCAACTGCAAAGCTGCCTCCCCGCCAAGCACCCCCCCGGCACACACCCCACCCCGCCGGCCCTTGACTGGATGCAATGGGCGACGCTGGCTATGCGGGTGACACAGTGACAAACCCCGGCCAAGGCCACCCCCGCGCCCTGCCCTTGCTATCTGTCTCCCAAGTTGGTACAATGCTTTCTACTTTTCAAGTCGGCTGGAGGGAGCACGGATACACTTCAGGATCGCGCCTCCGACACACACACACACACACACACACCTGCCCTCCTTCCAAACACATCTATGTCTATGTTGAACTGCAGCAAAGTCAAGGAAGCAGAGGCGCCCCTCTCCGGGGGGCACCTCCAAAGCTGCAAGCTCCTGATTTGCCAGCGCCGAAGTCTGCAGCAAAATAAAAGCCGCCCAGCGCTGCCCTCCCCGCTGCAAAATAACCGTCCTCTTCCCTCCTCCCCCGCCCCCTCCCTCCCCAGCCATGCACAAGTTGCTTGTGGGATAGTGAAGCTGCAACTCCGCTGCCTCCCCCTTGCTCCATATCGAGCAGCAAATCTTTTGGCGCCATATTAATGACGTACTATATTATTTCCACTAGGCAGCGACCTTCGGCATGAAATTGCTCTCTAGCTGCTTCTGGAGAACTCCAAAGCGAAGCAACCAAAAAAAAAAAAAAACCCCATCAAATATGGCTGTGCTGGCTGCTCCCCCGGCTCACTCTGCGGCGGCGGCGAGGAGGAGAGGCAGGATCTGGACACAGTTACCTGCTGCTGGTGCTGCCGCTGCGATGGTTGCCAGCGAGGTTGGAGTTGCTCCGCGCGGAGGGGGCTTTGGTTTGCTATGAGGTACCCACAATGAAACAGTAATAGGATTACTATGAGAGTGGGGGCAGTTTGTGTCCCCCTGCGCGCGCACACACTCTCACACACACACACACACACACACACACTCTCTCTCTCACTCTGACTGACGTTTTCACTTGTTATGGAGGAAGGACTCTGTGAATCAAACTCATTTCTGGGTCACTGCTGCCACAGGGGGGAGCTACTTTAATCCCCTGCCAAAACTAGAAGGAGAGAGAGAGGAAAAAAACAGGGTGGGGAGGAGAAGAGAGACTACAGCACTTGGGAACTGTCTGGGTTAACTCTTCACAGGCCTCGCTGGAGATGTCATGTTCCACTGACAGGAGCAGGGAGGCTCCCTTATTTCTGGCTGCATTTCACTGAAGCATCTCCCTCTTGTGCTGAAGAATATGCTGCAGCGAGACCTTTCCAGTCCCACCCGCTCCTTTCCTTGAAATCCCGCTCCTTCGAGATTGGCACAGCTTGAGAGCAGCCCCCTGTTCTCCCGCTGCTGTCACTCGGGGAAGTTTCTTGCTTTGCTCCTAGCCCCTCTGAAAATAAAAGCGGCCCCTGGAAGACTTGCAGCTGGGATGGGGGAAAAACGTGTGCGTACCAACGGCTGTTGTTAGTATTGTTTTAAAACACCCTGATTAGTCTAATCTCAAACCACTACATTGTGGACATGTCTACACGTTCATTAATGCGCATTAACTATAGTTTAGTACTTGCTTAATGAAGTACTAACTAAATGTGCAGTAACTACAGTAAGCGTCAGTGCTCGACACAGTAGCCTAATAACGCTGCACAGCAGCTTATTCGCACCGTTTTTGACCGGCACGCCACTGCACAATGTTATTAGGCTACCGCACAGGAAGCATCCTGTGTAGACGCACCCAATGAGGAATAAATCATGCCTCACTGCCTTCCCTGCAAGGTAGATTTTGTTAATGCAAGGTCTGTTACAGCACTATGTCAGAGGAAAGGGAAACTGAGGCACTGACAAATGATCACGGTAAACCATTGGCAGAGGCAGGAATTTCTTGATTCTCAGTCTTCTGTACCAGCCTTGCGGCTTTCCAAACTTTTCTGTTTGGAGTCTGGAGACAGAAGGATGTAAATAGCACAAAATATTCTGCCACTCATATTTATATCTTTTTATTACATGTTTAAAGCAAAATGAGTTTGAACTTGTATCACCTTAAATCCATTACTAAGGTTTCTATTACTAAAAAAAAAAGTACAGTTAAATGCAGTTATTTTTACTATACTGTTGTTGTTCTCAGGCTACGAATTCCAAAAATGGTCTCACATCCATTCCACAGAATGGGCACAATAATGAATGGGGAAGAGAGAATCTCAAACACAGAAATAAGGCTACCCATGTAAAAGTCTTCCAGAGACAGTGAACATGCAAATACAAATGAATGCAGCCTAGAGAACATATTTTCACTTGTGTGCCAAAAACTCACACCGTAGTTCAGGAGAGGGATTTCTTTGTTATTCATCAATAACAAACAAAAGAAATGTATGCTGGCATCTCACACACTTACCCACCCATTGGCCTTGTTTTGCATTGTTCCATTTTCTGAAAATAGGTGATGATATTAGAAGGAAAAAAAATCAAGTTTTTGAACTTAGAATGGACCCCTTCTTTTCAAGCACTTTATTTATGTACCAGCTATGAATTGACTGCCCAGAGGAGTTTTCCATCTATTGACTCCTCTGTGAAATCTTACAAAATATGAACTTTCATTTCTACCCAGGAGAACTTTGACAATCTTTTCTCCAATGCCTGATGAAAGGTGTTTGTGCCCGAAAGCTTGCAATTAAAGAATGTTTTTTGCAAAAATCTTGTTGGTCTAATAAAATATATAATCTCTGCTACGAGTACTACTGTAATTGCCTTATTTATGTAGACACATTCACTCACTTAAGTGCATCCATTCTCTCTTCTTCCATGTCTACTTTAGGGCCAACCCTGCAAATATTTGCTCTCTGGAGAGAAACTTTGCATA